ATGCCGTTTCTACATAGGATTGACCCATTTAGGATCCCATTCCTAAATAAGATAGTACAGGATCTTGTCTAGGATTTGTGATGAACGGTCATTCAACAGTGTAAATTGTTCCAATGATGAGTTTGGATGTTGGATATTGACAGATTATTGCAGCATTTGGTTGTACCTTCTTCTTCTTCTTCTTTTTGGGTCTCGGTGGTGATGTGGCTGTTTCCAAAAGAATCCGATTTTTTTCTGATTCTGTTTGAAGCTAAAAAATTAAAAATGCCAAAAAAGTAGAGATTTACGTGTAATCATTAACAACAATGTCCATCAACAAAAGAAAGATTAGAAATTATCACCAGTCAAACATTTTGTAACTCTGTGACTTTGTGAGTTACATGTGACCGTGTCTGCTACAAACAACTCTCTATTTGCCTCACCCTCCCCAGTATTGTTTTAACAATAAAAAACATCCTTTAAAAAATAAAAATAACAAAAATATATAAAAAAAACATCTTTTACAGAAGACACTCCCTAATATTGTTAAATACATGTATGGTCCTAAAGGTGTGAGTTATGTACAAACATTATTAAGTATGGCATTTCATCAATAATGTGAAAGTAGCCTACCTGTGCTGTTTTTTCTTGCAAAAGCTTTCTATGATGTGCCTCACTCCTAAGTCTTTCTTCTAATTCCCTWATTTTATTCTAGAACACAAACCAATTTATTCAGACATCTGTCTTTAGAAAATTTTGTTTTATAAAATATCTTTCAAAAATCATGTACTTATTGACTGAGTGGGAGGGCCGTATGGAAAAATATTTGGCTCAAGGTTATGCCGTACAGAACAAGTGCATTGAGGTCTGTACAAATGACCGAGAGCCAAATATTTTCCTGTATCGACCTAACTCAGTCAATAAGCATTTTCTCATATGACCCTAACAGTGCTTATAAACCATTTCTTTGATGAAAACTTCAAGCCGGGAAGATACGGGTTTGTATGGCCCTGTTGCAAAAAGATGTATGGCCCCCATCACATGACCATTTCCCAAAGTTTTTTTGAGAGCCTGTGTAGGGCCAAAATACGGGTCATATGATAAATGAGCATTACTCATATTTTCCAAACAATGAATAGAGATTGCTGTATCTTAGATATTTTAATTAACCTCAGCTAGAGAATGTGATGCTGTTAATTTCATGTGGTCACGCTCAAGCCCTGTCAATTTCCCTAGCTGTCCTTTAAAGTCTTCTGTTGCCTGGTGGCTGACTTGTTGGGTCAACATGGCTGATCTCTGTACAGCATTATCCCGGTCCATTTCAGCTGTCTGGACCATTTTACGCATGTAGTCAAGCTGTTTCTCAAGTAACGTACACCTTGCTTCAGCAGCTTGGAGGTTTTCCTGGAGATCTACAATTAAATAAGTGCATTACAACCGCACTGAATTATTACTCAGKCTGTCCGCAAGTGGGCTGGCTGTTTATAAGTTTGGTGGCCGAATCTATCTTTTGTTTTCCAAAGAGTATTACTTCTGTTTGCCTACATCACCAGAAGTTTTAAATCACRATGTCAAAGATGCCTTCATGTGGCGATTATGGTTGTCATATTCATAATAAATGTGATTTTTAGCATATYATCTGTTGTTTGGGTCAAATTTACTTACATTACATATAATGATGTTACTTTTCAATAATACAATGATTTAAAGGATAGTAGACAGAGAGAAATCTCTAATTCAGCTAGAATTTTCATGTTCAAATTTCCTAGTACCTCAATCACAAATCTCAATCACAAATTCAAGGTTTCTAAAAGGGGGTGTCGAGAATCAGCTTGGTACAACCCACTCTAACCTACTGTCCCTTTAGTCATCTCACCTTCATTCTGTTGGCTTATAATACCCTGTGTAGCTGTCTTGGCATAATGTTCTTTTTGTAAAATATCTTTGTAATGTTTGGATTCTTTAGCAAGTCTTTTCAGGTTATCTTCAGCATCAGTYCTTTCCAACTCAAGTTTTCTTATTTTCTCCTGGAGCCCTTTAAGAGCTGAGATTACAGCTGTTTACAAAAACAAAACAAACAAACAAAAAATAAAAAAATAAAATAAAAATAAATCTTTCTGAATCTAGGCTATACACAAAAATTATTGCCTGATTAATCTAGAAATAATAGTCAGCCCTTATTATGTATTTCCTGTTGTGCTGTAGCCTCCGTAGCAGATGTTCCAAGCGGTTCCGCTTGGAACGTCTGCTAGGGAGGCTAGTTGTGCTGTATAATACATATATTATAATATTATAGCAGTGCACAGGTGTTCCTAGTTGGGAGCGGAGCAAAGAAACATTTCTTCGCTCCACCCCCAACTAGGTACACCTGTACGCAGTCTATTATTATCAAGAATAAGGTGATTGGACTGTACATAGTATATAATATTACACAGCCATAGAAACAAAGTCATACTGTGTTTCTCTTAATGCTCCTTGAGTGCTTTTCAACTCCCATCGTGATCATATCTGAGTGAGGAAAGAGACACAAGCGGCTGTTTTATACAGTAGTTCTTTTATTAATTTTTTCTGTGTTTTTTGTGTGAAAAAACAAATTTGGCCGTTTACACTGTGTCTGTGTCCTCTGATATAAACATGGTCGCAAGCCAATCCTAGCGTGCATTATATATCAAAAATTTTATAAAGCTCAATATAAATCACTGTGTGTTTTATATCAGAGCTGTTCACACCTCACAGCTGATCTTGTTGTGCTTTAATAATACAGCATTATTGTGCGTCAATGTGCTATTTTTATTTGAAAATAATACATGTAATATGTAATGCCTTTGGATGTTTACCTCTACTATTTGCTTGTGGTATAGTCCCTTTTGGTGTGGCAAGYCCCTCTGCCATATACTTTCTTGCATTAGGGAAATCTCTATAAGATGATATGGAGCTGTTCGCTTCTGAACGCAGACTTGAACGAAACTGAGGTTCTCCAGCGCCTGGATAGTTCCTCGAGTATGGAGGCGATAACTGTATATTTACGTACTTGTTAATACGTTAATCAATTTAAACTTGTAAAGCATAATTCAAAATTATTCATGATAAATTTAACACAAGCCAGTGTTCAGCATTTTGCTTTTGTTATGGTCGTGATCGGATAACTAATCCTCAAAAATCGCGGATCCATCTCCCTTCCCTTCGTCTTAAGACCGCAAAACTCCCGATAATAACTTAAATCAGCAGCACYATCAACACATATAATGCAAGTCTACTGCAAGAAACTATAGCGACTACTGTCAAAACAGACGCCCTTTTTGTTTGTAGTTCGAATTGGACGCCATTGGCTGASAAAAGATCAACTTACCCTGCCGTCTTGGTCATCCATTGCTCTTTACGACGAGTTAGCTATCAAGAAACGGCCCCCCTTCAACTGTGTATTCTGTAGGATTCACCAAAAGAATAAAAGATGAGGAAGCATTCAAGAAACAAAAAAAAAAACAGTTCAACAATAAATTTACTGTTGTTTTTCAAATGTCCGTTTCTCCCATATTAATACCGCTGTACAAGWGCAAAGCCCACAAGGCATCATGGGAGACCTCTTACACTGTAAGTGCAAAAATCAAAAAATACCAAATATTTTTGTATATGATATAGTTCAAACTGTTATTTTGGTTGTCATTGATCTTTATTGTGCCATTTCCGTTGAAAATGAATGTTTTTAAAGTAAACAAGTTGCATATTTTCAAATATTGCGGGCTCAATYTAAATACCGCAGGGCATGATGGGAGAAAATGGCGGCACACACGGTGACTGTCAATGTTTTGGGAATGTGTTTTTTTGTAGCTCTCTAGAATATTTTTTTGAATCGATTATCTAAATATTTTTAAATGTGGAGAGCTGGTGTGCRTGTGCTACCTCGCAGACCGAGGATTTATCCATTCTATTCAAGGTATGGAGATTTATATGGTCTTGATATTTCCAGGTGACGCAAGTTTGCACGTGTGAATAGAAGCTTTTGATATTGTATGGATGTCAGAAATGTGATATTATTATATTATTGTGATTATGAGTGGGGGAAGTATCCTTACCAACCTCAACTGCTGCTTGAGTGCACATGCAAGTGGCTGTGCATGGTGTTCAATGCTGAAATAACCGTTTTTGATAAAATTATTTAAATTAAGGAATCTTTTAAGTTACTTGTCAAAATGATGGGAGTCAGAATCTCCTGCGGCTAATTGCCTGGATTAAATAATTGAATTAACTCAGTACCAGATATATTTATATATTTAAAAACTATTGATTTGAATACTTTGGCTTTGCTATGCTAGGGTGAAGCAGAGATATTTATGTTCTCAATCACTCAACAAAGAAGAAGAACAGAAAGCATCTGTACTCGATGCTGCAAGTAAGTTTACACTACATTTAGACTCCTCAGCTGTTGTGTTTCTTCGTTTCTTAGCATTTTAAGTCTCCCAGAGCTGCTATGCACCTCACCTGACATTTCAAATCTGTTGCTGGTGTGGTCTTCCTGTGGTGATCCAGTGACGATACATGTATGACATAGCTATCAGGCATAGAGGAGAGTTGATAGCTATGKCCCCTTGTTGTATTTACAAATGTTCCTTTTGGATGGCAGCAGGCTAATACCATATATTTTGGGGTCCCTGTGGAGTCTTTAATAAATCTAATAGTAATAATTCAGATCCTACATGTGATACATACATATGTAAGTGCTTGTATGACAAAGTTATTTTGAATATCAATCTTAAATTCCTTTAGAACAACTAAAAACAGGTGATTGTCTCCATGGATACACTGTAAATAAGGTATGTGAGTATGAAGCAGGGGTTTCAAAAATAGCTGGCTACCATAGACCTTTTCTGAGATACGAAATCATGGTGCATTGTGGTCTAGTTTCAGTACAAACAACATCATATTTGGCCACATGAACAAAAGATGTTTGTACCGAATCTAGACCACGATGCAAAGCGTCATGCTATTTCAGAAAAGGCCTATTGGTACAGTGCTTTCGGTACCTCTAGCTGCAGGCTGTTTATTTTGTCTCATATATACCATACTATGAATTCTATTTTTTGGGGGGGACATAGACATCAACATCTATCATTCAGATGCTTATTCAAAGAGATAATGAACCCCTTTTGAAGGCACACAAACCTAGACTCCTCCCCCAGGCCTAGTACTTACTAAACAAGAACTGTTGCATCACGATTATAAGCAAAATTTGGCAAAATCAAGCACTAAATATTTTGATTTTTGGGCTGGCTTCTTTGGCTAAAAAAAATAATAATAAAGTTTGTAATGCTTGTGGCCCCTAATAATTAATGCATTAATTATTGGTGTAGGTTGAACCTGTATCAGAACTGTCATTAGTGTCAATACATCTTACCCATGATGCTACAGGAGCAGAACATTTGCATATTGCTAGAGATGATGCCAATAATGTGTTTGGGTAAGTACAGTGCCTGATCACTGAGAAAAGCAATATTTCACAAGCCATGTATTTGGATACTGGCCTGGGACAAGCAGGTGTATACCTTATGTAAATTGGAACTTTTTTAAAATAACTTTAAGGTAAAAAATGTGCCCATGCCATAGTAGTCTCCTTTGCAGCCTATACAATAGGGCTTTTGTATGAGAATAGAATATTCAGAGGCTTAGCTGTGCAAATCGCTAAGGATGGAGTGTTAAATCAGTTTAAGACAACAGTGTAAAGAGCTACAGAGCTACAGAGGTTTCTAACCTGCCAAATGTTTTTGTCAACAGAGTTGGGTTTCGCACCACACCCATGGATAGTACTGGTGTCTCACATATTCTAGAACATACTGCATTATGTGGGTCCAAGAAGTTTCCATGCCGAGATCCATTCTTTAAAATGCTCAATAGATCACTTGCAACTTTCATGAATGCAATGACAGGTAAATAGTGTTGAWCCAGGGTATCTGACAGGATCTGCAGGAAAAATAGAAAATGATGCAGACAAAATTAATATATGTTATTGAAGAAAACATTGTTAGTAATGGAAAAAAGAAACGGATTAACAATTATTATTTTCATTGAATTAAGGTTCATTGCAAGAAAGTTTAATTGTAAAATGCATAAGCCGGAGGTTAGGTTGGTCTAGAAGCTGCTATGTGAAGCATCTCCAACTTAACCACACTACTTGTGCTGCAATGTGAAAGGTCAAGTACCTCTAATTAATTTGTTCAAATTTTTTTTTTCTTCAGCTAGTGATGTCACCATGTACCCATTTTCTACCCAGAACCCCAAGGACTTCCAGAATCTTCTTTCTGTCTATCTAGATGCGGTATTTTATCCTCAGCTGAAAGAGCTTGACTTTTGGTAAGTCACACTTTCAGTATAGGGAAGAAAGTGCAGCTTCTAGATAAGATTCATTCACCAAGATGGCTGCCTGTCTTTTGTATCTGATGATTGGAAATGAAAACAAGCAAAATATATAATATACAGTATGCACAAGGTTTTTAATAGGGATGGTCCTGGCAAAACTTACAGTATTGGTAGATACATTTTAAGAACAGAGAAATAAAATATTAATAAAATAATYAAAAGAATATTAAGTAAAATATCAAAAAAAAAATAAAAATAAGTAAAAAACAAGAATATAGCAATGCAAAGAGGCACATGTAAGTAAAAAAAAAAACAACATTTATCAAATGCAGAATAGGAAGAATGAGAGACCGAATATATTCATTCTAGTTGATATTCAACATCGAATAGAATAGGAGATTACATGAGAGCAATATTTCAGTTTTATTGCCATTCTTCTTATCAAATGCACTCCTCTGTTTCTTGTGTTTTCAATTGCAACACTAGACCAGCTGCTAAACATCTAATTAATTATTTAAAATATGTATTTATTTTGGGGATTTGATATCCTTSTTATCTTACTAAGGCAAGAAGGATGGCGACTTGAGCATGAAGACCTCTCATCAGCMAGTTCACCACTGGTCTTCAAGGGAATAGTCTTCAATGAAATGAAAGGGGCAATGTCAACATCAGACTCTATCTTTGYCCATCATGCTCAAAACCTGCTACTACCAAGYCATACATACAGYCATAACAGTGGTGGAGAACCTCTCTGCATCCCTGATTTAACCGTAAGCCTGACTTTTTTGTGAGAATTAATTTATATATGTTTGCAGTAATATACATGTATTTTTAATAAAGTGTACATGGTAGTACATAGTTTCCAGCAGTTCAAATGAAACTAGTCACGATACTAAATTGACAAGTCATCTTATTAAGTCAGTTAGGTAGACACTTTAATGTCTGAGTCCATTAGGAAACCAGACAATGTCGTCGTCTAAGTCAAAGAGTCAACTTTGCCGTCTAAGTGAGTCAGCCGGCCTGATTTGAAGGGCTGAATGTGAGGTTGGCGTAAGTGACGATTTAGGGTATTTTTGACATTTTAGAAAAAAAAAAAATCACTTCGATCGCTTATTTTCAGTCTAAATAACTTTATTTAATATTACTTATTTCTCCTGATTTCTTTCTAAAAAGAGCAAAAGAAGACGCATAGTTACGGACTTCTCCAATTGTAAAAAGTCATGCACTACTGCTGTGTAGTAATGTATAAACCACTGACACAAATTTCTGCTGTAAAAATAGTATTGGCACCTGAAATTTCCAAAATATATTTGGCTGAGACAGGTCATATTGACCTCAGACACATCCTTCTAAACCCTATGAGAGAAGCACCAATACTCCAGTTTCGAATTCAAAGCGAATAACCGCTGTTTTACTTGACAGCAGTTTCTATTACGCAAAGAACTTACCAAAGACAAAAGAAAGCACGAGAAAATGTTGTTAATACAATAGCGCTAAGAATCTACATTTTCCCCGAGTTGAGGCTAACCCTGCTCATACCTTAGGTCTTATGGGAATACAGGGATAGTCTATTGTAATAACGACATTTTCTTGTGCGCTTTTTTGTGTTTGTAAGGTCTTTGCGCAAGAGAATCTGTTGTCAAATAAAGCAGCAGTTATTCGTTATGAATTCTAAACTGGAGTATTACCATCCAACTTTCAATATAGTTATGACGATCCAGGAAATCTAAAAGTGGACGATAAACATTTATCAGATATGACAATTTCTGCTCCATTGTGTACTCAATATCCTAATTTC